CATGGTGTGCAGGACAGCAGTCCTCAGGCTGCGCCTGCCCTGGTGACTCCATGGTGTGCAGGACAGCAGTCCTCAGGCTGCGCCTGCCCTGGTGACTCCATGGTATATGGAACAGCAGTCCTCAGGCTGTGCTTGCCTTGGTGACTCCTGGTCTGTAGGACAGCAGTCCTCAGGGTGTTCCTGCCCTGAGTAACCCCTGGAACAACCTGTCCTGCCAGGCACCACCATAAGGAACACACCTATTTTTTATAAAAACGTATTGCCAGGCAGGCAGAGCGGCACATGCCTCATGAGGCAGATGCAGCAGTATCTCAAGCTCAAGAACTGCCGGGGCAACTTACTGAGATACTGTCTCAAATTAAAATGCAATGTCTGGGGGTGTGGCTCAGTGGGAGCAAACCCCTGGGTTCAATCCCAAGGACAAATAGTAAACAAGAACTCAAACAGGCCAACTATCAAACATAATCAGGAGCACCTGGACTCACAGACCGCCCAAATCATACCAAGATGGGAGCAAACAACCTAATCAGACAACACCCATCACTCAAGACCCCGAGGCTGGACATAGCAGCACCTGGACTCCATCACCTGGTCACTCCTCACATGCCTTGTCCAGGAAAGTCGCCACAGCAGCAAACCTCTGCTTCTGTCCCCTGGGCTTCAGCACAGCATAGCTTCTTGTGCGCTGCCATGAGGGACAGAGAATGGTGCCACCACATGGAAAGACAGATTGGCAGTTCCTCAGACCATAGGACCCAGCAACTCCACTCCTAGGCACGCACTCTGGAGAACTAAGACTTAGGTCTACACAAAAACCTGTACATAAACATTCATTGCAGCATTGCTTATAGCATCTCCAAAGTGGAAACAACCCAAATGTCCACCAGTGGATGAAGGGGTAAACTATGTGGCAGATCTGCCCAGAGGGACATAACTCAGTCACAAAAAGGAATGAAGTACTGATTCATAACACAATATATATGAACCTTGAAAACATGATTTCAGGGAAAGAAGCCAGTCACCAAAGATCACAGTCATATGCTTTCTATAATAGGAAACATTCAGAAAATGCAAATACAGAGAGAAAGAAAGTAGGATTAGTAGCTGCTGGGGGAATACCAATCCACTCCTAATGGGTCCAAAGTTTTTTCTGAAAATGTTCCATAATTACACAGTGATGATGTTTGCACAACCCTGTAAGTATATAAACAACCACGTAGCGCACAGTGTAGACCATGGGATGTGGAGTCTATCTCAATAATGCAGCATAAAAAGGGAAAAATAAAGCACCACACTTGGCAGAGGCAAGTTCTCCACACACCAGCAGAAAAGCCCAAGAGTCCTTCAGCCGCCCAGGGCCTGATTCCTACTACCCTGCACATGCTTCTCCCTGTGGCCTAGAGCACCACACGCCTCCCTTTGCCCTCCTCCTGTCTCCTCGAAGACCCCTCCTTAGACACCCACCCCATGCACAATCCCATCCACACAGATGGTCCTTGGTGTGTGGAGAGCTCCCACATCCATACCTCCTGACCCCTGTGCTTATTTGGCAGCTGGCTGGACAGCCCTCTACTCTCGAGTTCTGGAGATGCTCCAACTGAATGTGCAACACTGAAATCACCCCTGACCCAGCCTGCCCTCCTGTAGGCCCCGGTCACACTGCCAGTAGCCCAAGAGCTACCCACACTGTAAACCCAAGACCATTCCTAGAAGTCCCCTCCTCATGGTGCCCAGATTGCTTATCAGGGCCCCACTCTATCAATACCTCTGCCACATATGGCCCTATTAAACCTAGCATGGAACCTCCCATTATTGAGGAAGGACTGTGTGCAGGTAATCGCCAGGGAGTTAGCTTTTTGAAGTGAAACCAATTGCCCAAGGTCCTACAATTATTATCAAACAGAGTGACTCCAAATCCTATGATCCTATCCAGTCTTCCCTGGTCCCATTGCTATACCATGCCAAGAGGACTCAAAGCCAGACTGCCTGGGTTCAAATTCCAACACTACAGCAAGGTGCCTGTTTGCCAAGCCACCTCTCCTTGTGTGCTTCAGGGACAGTGCAAGGCAATATTTGTCAGCACACACTATCTAAGCTGTCGCAGTGCACAACCGGATAATGGCAATAGTTGCTGACATCTGTTAAGTGGTGACTTTCACCGATGCCAGTTTTTCTTCTTTAAAAAAAAAAAAAAATGAGCGGCTATACTTTTGGTCTGAGGTCCTGCACAGAAGCCCCCCATGCACCAGTGCAAACCAAAATGCTGCACAGTCTAACTAAGGAAGCAGCCAGGTCACCAAACACCATTTTGCTGGAAACTGGAGACTTCAGCCAATCAGGGCCTCATTATGAAGTCCCCTGGCTTTCACCCCTACAGAAAAGTTAACTGGGATGACTCAGGGCCTGGTCTCCACCTTTCTGCTTCCGGGTTACACCTCAAAGTCCCACTGTCAGGGAGCTGTCACCCTGCGGCGCCCGTGTGGCCGAGATACGTGACGTGGACGCCGGCCTGTCACCTGCAGCTAAACCTGTCGTGACGCAGTCTCCTCTCCGGGGCGGGCGGTGATCTGAGACACGTAGGCTAGCGTTTGGCCCCAGCGCTGCCCCGCGCCCAGGCCTCCCGCGGTCCGCTCTGCTCCAGCCCCGGCTGCGCACACGGCGGGCTCTGGACCGTCGTCCTGACGTCGCTACCGCGGGCGGAACCCCGAGGTTAGTGCACGGCCGCTGCCTCCGCTCCGCCTTGCAAGGGGCGTGGCCTTCCGGTCCGCTCCGCCCCGGGGGCGTGGCCCGCCCGCATTCCATGTCTTGTCCCCTCCCATCAGGGGGGTCTTCGCCCCTGCTCCTAGGTGGGTCCTGCCCTCTCGTCACCACGGCTCCAGGGGGTGCCCTGTCTGTCCCCCTGACGTCTTCGCTCCGGGCTCCGGTTGTCCGGGAAAGCCGCGGCGGCGGACCACGTGGGCTGCCGCTGGTGGCCGCGGCTCTCCCCGCAGGTTGTTGTCGCGCTTTCCCTGAGCGGTCCTCCTGGCGGGCCGCGGCGGCTCTGCGCAGAATCCCGCCCGCCCCGGAGCTGCCCGTCCGCCAGTGGGCTGCGCCTTTTCAAATTAGCGAGCTGGCCTAGTGCTCGCGAAGTTCCAGAACCGCGGTGCCGCGCGGGTCCCCAGAGGGAAGCGCGGTGGCCACGGCAGTAGCCTACTCAGTAATACACACGTCTCTCTGTTTCTATCGCACACGTCCTCACTCTCGCATTTTGGGATCACCTCCACATTAATTGCCAGCACCCAAATCCTGTCTCACGGTCTGTAGAAACTTGCACAGAGAGAACCAACTGGGCTGGGCAATTTTCCACATGAAGAGCAGATTAGCCCAAAGGTTTTTTCCATGTAAAGGGAACTAAAAACCAGGTAGTGTGGTTGTGGGAAAGAGGAAGATGCTAAATCGAATTTTAGAGATGTGTCAATTTTAAAACATCGGAAGCATATCTGGGTGGTGATTCAGTTGGGAACGTCTCTTTCTAATCCTGCTCTACCCTAAAATATCCTTAGTTCCATGATAACATTATTACTTACACTTACCACTCAAAATCGGCTTGTAATTTCAGCTACTGGGACTTTCCTGTTGAAAAGCAGAAGGAAGGGATTAGAGGATGAAGCAGCCTCCTTCCAAGCAGTCAGGGTAGACGTCCCTTCTCAGCCAGCATTGTGGCCCAGGTCTGAGCCCATAGGAGCACCTGGGATTGTCTGCAAACCAAATCAATCAGTCCAATAAGAACACATGCTGCTATTTTGCAGATGTTTGGAGATACTGTTGAGAGTCACAGAATATTCACTCATTACAGAATTCACACCTTTAGGTCACAATGTCTGGCCAAACACAACTAGTAAGTTAGGTTCACACTTTATTAACATAGAAAAACATCATTCCAATTTGGAAACCATCAACCTAAAATGAATGGTGAAGATAAAGCCAGATTTAAAGATAGGTAGTTAGTGTAGTTAGGTAAATCGGGTCTAATATCGAGTAAAATCGAAAATGAACACCATGTTGAGAATGGAGTCCGAAAAGCAGAACAACTCTTGGAATGTTAATGTCCCCAAGGCCCAGAGCCCATCCCAAAGAAATGTTAATGAAACAGCTCCCAGCAAACCTGGAGATGCTAACCCAAAAGTCCTTCCTGCCCAGATTACTCCTTTGGCCCACCTGTCCCCCACCTTCTGGGCCTTCCCACCTACATTCCATCACTGAAAGATGACAGAACAGAGGACAGGAACGCGGGAAAGGTGAAAGAAGACCTTAGCTATAAAAGGGAAACACATTCGCCCTTCCACAGATTCCACCTCTTGGGTGGGAGAAGTCTTTTCTGCTGTCCTTTAATAAAGCCTCTACTTTCCACTCAAAACTTGCCTTGGCGAGCTTCTCTGTTGTTATACTTCAACATTGGGGAAGCACCAATAAACAGCAGTAACAAAGACATGGGCTCTCCAACACAGAGATATTATTTGGAAATGACAAGATTGCAGTCTGGGATATGCATGACATGGTAGTCCATGGGCATCTAAGAAGACACTGGTTTTCAGAGGTAAAATGAAGGAGTTTCCGTTCATTGTTTGGAAACACTTGTCCTTGGCTGCAAAGATCAGTAACCAGGCTGGTGTTGATATGCTCGAGTTCGGGACCCCCCCAAAAGACCACCAGAGACCAAGATCAATGTAAGCAGCAAAGAGGCGTTTATTGTGAGCTAGCTTGGTCCTCCGCGCACACAGCAACTGGTGACACTGAGAGGCCCTGATCCTAGGGTTTGTAGCAGTTTTATACACTCTTTGGGGAAGGCAGGAACTTCACATACATCATAGCATCTCTTAGCAAATCATTACACACCGTGGGAAAATCATAAAACAACTCTAAAACATGATTAGTACATTCTCTGGCGGGAACAAGTTAGGTAGGGGTGATTGGGCAGTACAAAGGGAGGGATTTGTTTGAACTGATTGGTTTAAGCCTCGAGGGGTGTACCTGCTGAACTACATGGTTTCCCAACATGTTATCAACCACCATAAACTACTGGGAGGGTCATCTGGCATCCCAGGTATTTTCCCTGTCACATGCTGATAATCCCAGCAGCTCAGGATTGGTGGTTGCTAGATGTTGCTATGGGTTCTCACCTAGCCTGACTGAGTCAGGGACACCTGGTACCACAGATCTCTCCTGTTATTTGTAGATAAACAACTCAGTGGGGTGGGTATGTGCCTAGGAGCGTGCTCTGTGCTTTTTTCCAAGGACAAGAGTCACGCCCACTTCCTTGAACAGGCTTTGCTCCGAGGTAGAGGCTGGTTTCTCAAAAATGGAGTCACATCAGTTTCTCAGTGTCAGTTTGAGGCTGAAGGCAGATGCTGGATAGGGAGCCACACAGAGGCATCTTTTATGTGAGGTTTTTGGCTGGCCCTTTTGTGATAGTTCTTATTACCAGGCAAATATGTGTAAGAATCACCCCCATCCCCCAAGGCCTCCCCACTCCATTTTGTTAGCGTTTGACATAAGTAACTCCATTTTGATTCTGGCAACTTTCACAAAAGACTTCTAGTCCACCGCAGGAGAGGGAGGGAAGAAACGTTTATTTTTTCTTTCTTTTTGGTGTCAATGATTGAACCCAGGGGTGCATAACCACTGAATCACAGAGTCAGCCCTTTTTTTTTTTAACTTTTTATTTTGAGACAGGGTATCACTAAGTTGTTTAGGGCCTTACTAAGTTGCTGAGGCTGGTCTTGAAATTGAGATCCTCCTGTCTCAGCCGTCTGAGTGGCTGGGATTGTAGGCCTATCACTCTGCTGGGCAGAGGAGACCCTGTTATGCTCAAATTCGGGATCCCCAAAAGACCACCAGAGACCAAGATTGATGTAAGCAGCAAAGAGGTGTTTATTGCAAGCTAGTTCCATCCTCCGTGCACACACGGCAACTGGTGACGCTGAGAGGCCCGAGCCCAGGGTTTGCAGCAGTTTTATACATTCTTTGAAGAAGGCAGGGACCCCCACATACATCATAGCATCTCTTAGCAAATCATCACACACCGCGGGAAAATCATAAAACAACTCTAAAACGTGATTATTACATTCACTGGTGGGAACAAGTTGGTTAGGGGTGATTGGTCAGTACAAAGGGGATATTCATTTGAACTGATTGGTTTAAGCCAAGAGGGGTGTTCATGCTGAACTACGTGGTTTCCCAACACCATGAACTACTGGGAGGGTCATCTGGTATCCCAGGTATTTCCCTGTCTCATGTTGATTGGTGGCTGCTATGGGTCCCCACCTAGCCTGACTGAGTCAGGGACACCTGGTGCAGGAGATCTCTCCTGTTATTTGTAGATAAACAACTTAGCAGGGTGGGAATGTGCCTAGGAGTGCTCTGTGGGTCTTTCCAAGGTCATGTCCCTTCCTTGGACAGGCTTTGTTCTGAGGCAGAGGCTGATTTTTCAACCCTTCTAAGTAGACTTCAGAAGGCAGGCTACAGAGGAAGACCTCAGAGCCACCAGTGAGAGTCAGAGGCCTGTGATGCAGCTGTGGCAGTGCCCTAGAGGGAGGGAAGGGAGGTGACAGTCTCCTGTTGGCTCTATTTAGGACAAGGTGTCCTTAAAAAGCATGCATGAAGAAAATGCCCACAGCTCATGCCCCAGGTTTGGGGAGGGCATTAGCCCTCTTTTCCCTGCTCCTTGGGCTTGTCTGCTTCTGCCTCCCGCCCCACTGCCAGGGCTGGTCAGAGACTTTAATGTTCTGGTGACTGGGCTAAGACTGTTGTTCCAGCTCTGACCACCTCCTGTGCCCCCAGTTCCTCTCCCCAACCTGCAGTCCCCTCCTGGGCCTTAGGATACAGTGCAACCATGGCTGACAGGAGCATCATGGATGTCTCTATGTGGATTCAGGTGCACCTTGAGGCTGAAGGATGGTCGTCAAGTATGAAGAGAAAGGGACTTTTGTATTGCTGGGACCCGGGTGAAGGGATCACCGTGACCAAAACACCTGCACAAACAACTTTATGGAGGAAAGCTTATTTTAGCTGTCAGTTTTGTCCATTTCAGTCCGTGGTTGGCTGGCTCCACTGCTCTGGGCCTGAGGGAGGAGGACCATCATGGCAAAAGGACAAGCAGAGGAAAGCCATTGGCTTAGGCCACCAGGAGCAGAGCCCAGGAGAGGCCAGGGGCAGACTGTCTCCACCTCCTCCCGCCATACCCACCTGCCCATAGTTCCCACCCTCCTGGTGGTCCACGCAGATTATTAACCCAGCCACTCAGGCAGAGGAAGGGGGACCAACGTCTCGAGGCCACCTAAGCAACTTAGTGAGACCCTCTCTCTGAATAAAATGAGAAGGGCTGGGGATGCAGCCTGGTGTTGGAGCACCCTGAATCCAACCCTGAGCAACACACCCAAAGATATCAACCCACTCAGACTTTATTCACAAGGTTGAATTTTCTGTTGTCTGAGTTAGTTTCCAGGGGCTTTTGTAACAAAGAACCACAAATGGAGACACATTCTCTCACAGTTCTGAAGGCTCTGAAGTAGAACCTACTCTCTCCCAGCTTCTGCTGCTTACAGCAGTCCTCAACACTCCTTGGCTTGTCTTGGCTTCATTATAGCCTCTGACTGTGGTCACAAGCATTCTCTCTCATTTCTCAAAGTATCTTTATTTAATAAAGATAGCACTCATATTTGATATTAGGACCAATCCTAATCCAGTGTGAGTGACATCACTGTAACTTGATTTCATCTGCCAAGGCCCTTGTGTCCACATAAGGTTAGGACTTCAGCATATCCCTTGGAAGGGCCCGATTCAACCCCAACACTGTTCAAAAATGTTTAGCCTGGTTGGGGCAGCCAACTGGCCAACTGTTACACATCTCGCTGAGCCGCAAATGTGTGCGGGGACCTCAGCCAAGCCCTGAGGACACAGGTAAACAGGCCCTGCTCCTCAGGAGGCTCCAGCTGCCAGGGGATACAAACAGAGGGCTGCGTGTCCTGGTTGCAGTCCCTTTTATCCCCAAGTAAACTTGCTACCTCTAGGGAGTCTGTCTCTTGGTTTCCTTTTAAGTCAACATACCCTTTGGTTTGAATGTATTGGGTTTATAGTCCAAAAAAGTTTGAGACTGCATGGCTCAGCTGTCTTTCACTTAATTCCACATTTGGTCTGTGCTCTTCACTGATAAATCACATGACAAGTGAATTTTCAATTTTGATTCTGCCATATATCCTGTTATTGTAAACTCCCAGAAAGAACGAAAAACCTTCGAGACTTTTGAGATTTTCACCAGTTGCTGGTGACCTTGGATGACACTGGCAGTTTTTGAACTTTTTTGTGACAGCTACTAGACAGGAACTTTTAGGGACAAGGTGCTTGTGCTTGGGGGAAGCTGTCACCTCTTTAAATAACTGCTGACATCCGTTCAAGTTGTTTCAGATAGGATTCTCAGGCTTGGTTAGGTGGCTTAGGAGGTTGATGCAGGAGGACTGCCAAGTTGGAGGTCAACTTCAGCAACTTAGGAAGACTCTGCCTCAAAATGAAAAGGACTGGGGCATGTAGCATCAGTGGTAGTATATTGGTTCAATTCCAGGTCAAACAAAATGAAACAAAAAACCCCTCCAGATTAGACCACAAGGTATCAGTTTAAACTCAGCCAAAATTTGAGTCCTTCTGGGTAATGCAGTGAACTTTGCTCATCATAATGCTTAATTCTTCACCTGAGGAGCATTCCCACCTGCCACGTTTCAAGACCTAAGCAAGTATAGGTCGAGACTGGGCATGCTCTGCAACAGCCTGACTCAACAAGCAAAGTCTTTTCCATAAAATCCCCTGGCCCGAGCCATCAGGGAGACACTGATTTGGGAGTTATCCCAGTTGCTCTCCTTAATCGCTGCAAGTGATAACCCTCCCCACCGCGGTCCTCGGGCTGTGCCCACTGGCCCTGGGTTCCCGAGGGCGAAGACCCTCCCCACCATGGTCCTCGGTTTGTGCCCACTGGCCCTGGGCTCCCGAGGGCAAAGACCCTCCCCACCGCAGTCCTCGGCTGTGCCCACTGGCCCTGCGCTCTCGAGGGCGAAGACCCTCCCCACCGCGGTCCTCTGGCTGTGCCCACTGGCCCTGCGCTCCCG